GCGTTTACAACGATATCATACATGTGTTCAGAGGCGGCAAACAGTGGCGGTTCGACAATAAGCCGGCGGAGGGCCGACCCTTTGGCCGCATGCTTGACGGCGCCTATCGGGCCAAAAACAATTGGACAGGCATTCACTTTCCGGGCGGTGCCGGCGATTACGGTCCCGGAGCCTTCATTATGGTGTATAAGAAAAAGTGGTCCAAATGGGGTCGACCCAGTCGTACGCCAGTGGCCGGCGATATACGCGACCACCCGGTCGGCGAACTGGACGACGCCGATGTGGCCGACAGTCCAGATCACGGGGCGCTCATTCTGGTGGACCCGAAAAAAGGCCGCTTCGGTAAGATTAAGGGCCCGAATGTGTGCTATCTGGTGATCCGTAACAATGTGGCCAATTGGGACGGGAAGTGCCAACCGGTCGGCGAAGATGAGAATAAATTCCCGCCCGATATCATCGCAGCGGTGCTCAACGCCGATAAGAACTGGTATTTCGTCGCCCGTAACGGCACGCACTGTAAGCGCCCGGATGTGCCCAAAAAGGAGCCTAAAGTAGAGGTGGGTTTGTAATTGTAATTTATTATATTGTTTTGTTTGTTTTAATAGATGTTTATTTAATTAAAACTTTATTTATATGTGTTGTCTAATTAGTGCACTCAATGGGAGCCCAATAAAGGGCTGTTTGGTTGCGACCAAACGCCAGTGAACGCCGAGTTGAAGGAGTTGTGCCGAAACGCGACCATCAACTCCGGCGGTACAGTCGAGCCATTCATATATGTGTTCAAAAACGGCAAGTATTGGAAGTTTGACAATAAGCCCAAAGAGGGGAAACCATTTGGCGATGTGGTCGAGGGTGAGGGCAAAGTACCCGTCCATAAGCAGTTCGATGGCATGCATTTGCCGGGCGGCGCCAGTCATAATCAGGGCGCTCTCGTCATGGTGTACGCCAATAAATGGGCGCAATGGGTGCCCAACGATGGCACCGGTAGTGACGGCGCACTAACCACTATATCGCCCGATCCTAACGCATCCGCGGGTGAGTCAACAACACCTGCTGCGGGAGAGTCTGATGGCAATACTGCCGCACCCGATGGCGACACAGCTGTCGCCACCACAACGCCAACAGCGGGAGAGGCCGACGATAAACCCAAGTCCAGCGATCCGGACGCCGAGGACTCGGCCGCTGCTGACAAGGATTTGCCCAAAGAGAAGAAGGGGCCGAAGAAAGGCCGCAAACCTAAAGCAGAACCGGAGGACGCGGGCGATGGCGAGAAGAAACCCTCTAAAAAAGGAACCAAAAAGAAGGGTAAACCAAAAGCGGCTGACGAAGAGACCGGCGCTGACGAGGAATCGCCCAAAAAAGGAAAGGCAGTTAAAAAGGGTCGCAAACCATCGAAAGCGGACGATGAGAGCGATGAAGAGAAACCAAAGACAGCGTTGAAGAAGAAGTCCAAAGGAAAGCCGAAAGCAGATCCAGACGGCGATGACAGCGGCAAAGGAGACGAAGAATCGCCAAAACCTAAAAAGAAAGGTAAGAGCAAAGGAAAGTCGAGTAAACCTAAAGCCGGATCTGATGGCGACGCTGGCGATGAAGAGTCGCCAAAACCAAAGAAAAGCACTAAAAAGGGCGGCAAACCAAAGGCCGATCCAGACTCTGATGGCAATACTGGTGGTGACGACGACTCGCCGAAGAAAAGCGCGCCGAAGAAGAAGGGCAAAGGAAAGGCTACTAAACCTAAAGGCGGTGACAATTCCGATGGCGAAGACGAAGAGAAACCGAAGTCAAAGGGCCCGAAGAAGGGTCGCAAAGGTAAAGCAGATCCGGACGCTGAAGACTCAGCCGCTGCCGAATCGCCGAAAGGGAAGGCCAGCAAAAAGGGCCGCAAACCTAAGCCGAGTGACCCGGACGGAGACAGCGGTGGAGAGTCACCGCCAAAACGGAAAAAAGGCGGCAAAACGGGTGGCCGTAAACCGAAAGACGGCGATCCGGAGGGCACTACTGAAGCCGCGGCTGAATCGGCACCGAAACCCTCTGCGCGTAAGAACTCGCCGCCCGTTAACGTCAACGAACAGCCAATTGGCGACGAGATTAGAGAACCGGAGGGCGATCTCAACGACTTGGGAGCGCTCATACCGTCCGGCGATTCGCCGAATAAGTTTGCGAAGATTATCGACGACGACGTGTGTCACGTGATTGTCAGAATGGGAAAGATGTATTGGGACGGGAAGTGCAAACCGGTGGCGGAAGATCCCAACAAATTCCCGCCCAGAATTGTGGGCGCCGTCAAGACTCGGGCCGGACAGTGGTATTACTTCGATAGGGATGGCAAGTACTGCACCCGAAAGGATAGGGAAACCACTGATGTATGTGATTGTTGGTCACCTTATCGGCCGACCTGTTCGCTGAATATGTAATACTAATTGACTTTATATTAGTGTAAGGATTGGAAAGACAACAAAGAGGTGTTTGGGTGCGACGGCGACCAGTCGGAGGCCATGGAAGCGCTTTGCGACAAACCCAAAATCAAAGCCGCGGGCAATCACTGGCCACTGATATTGGTATTCAGGGGTCAAAAATATTGGGTGTTTGACAATAAGGAACAGCCGGGCAAACCATTTGGCAAACTAATAACCGGCGCTTTGCCCGCCCGCGACAAGTGGCCGGGCGTTCACCTACCGGGCGGCCAATCGCACCACAAGCAGGCGATGGTAATGGTGTACCGGAACAAGTGGTCGCGTTGGATGCCGGGTAAGGACCAGACCGAGGGTGACGTCTTTGACGAACCCATTCTGGATAAGGGCGACGACGACGACGAAGACGGCGATGTGGGCAACGCGGGAGCGCTGATCAATGTGGACATTGCCGGCGCCCGATATGTAAGGACCAGACCGAGGGTGACGTCTTTGACGAACCCATTCTGGATAAGGGCGACGACGACGACGAAGACGGCGATGTGGGCAACGCGGGAGCGCTGATCAATGTGGACATTGCCGGCGCCCGATACGCCAAGATTAAAGGCGATCAGGTGTGCAATCTTCAGATCACATACAACCAGAGCGTATGGATTGGCGATTGTCGGCCGGCGCTGACCGATGCCGAACAGTTCCCGCCGTTCATTGTGGCCGCCATTAAGGGAAGAGATCGTAACTGGTATTACTTCGACGAAAAGGGAAAGTACTGTAAACGCGCCGAAGGGACCAGAGATAAGGTATGTTTTTTTGAGTCCATCACTTGTTTATCATCCGGTGTTCAGTAAATGTGCCGTAAATTACACTATAAGTACACATATAGTGAACAAAAATTTTATTTAAGATTAATTTACATAACTATTAATGTTTTGTTTGCTATTTGAATGCATGTATTGTCGTATATATGCAGTGCACGGACTGGAAAGACAACGGCGAAGTGTTCGGCTGTAACGCTAAGAAACTGAAGCCCGAGTTGGACGCCCTGTGCGATAACGTGACCATCAGTTCGGGTGGCAATTATCCGCCGTTTGTGTATATATTTCGGGGCCGGAAGTACTGGAAGTTTGACGGCCATCACCCGAAAGCGGGCAAACCGTTGGGCGATCTCATCAAAGGCAACCGTCCGGCCAAAGAGGAGTTCGACGGCATCCATATGCCGGGCGGCGCCTCCTTCAACAAGAACGCCTTCGTTGTGGTCTATAAGAACACGTGGAGTCAGTGGAAGCCAAAGGGGGCCGACATTGGTCTGCATAAGAAGATGCGCCGCAACGACAACGAGATCAATAACGCGCCGATAGGGACGGCAACGATGGAGATATTGGGAGAGCCGGACGATCAGCCCGACGGCGAACCCGCAGATAAGGGCGCTCTGATCGCCACCAACGAGAAAAAGGGCCGATACGCTGTGATTAGAGGCAAACAGATCTGCTATTACCTGATGACCGACGCCAAGCTCTCGTCGGTCGGCAAGTGTCAGCCCGTTTCCGACGATAAGAACAATTACCCGTCGAATACAATCGCTGTGCTCAGGGATAGGGACCGGAACTGGTATTTCTTTGACAGCAGAGGGAAGTACTGTAAACGAAAGGCCGGAAACAAAGACAATGTATGCCATGAACTACTCGTCACATCATTTAGTTGTTTCTAATCTTATATCTAATGTCTTATGCCTACCAGTGCTCCAAATGGGTGTCCAATGAGGAAGTGTTTGGGTGTCGTGTGAAGAGCAAAGTGTCGTTCGTGCAGAGCCTCTGTGGTAACGTTAAGATCAGCGCCGGCACCAACTTTTCGCCCTTCGTGTACGTGTTTAGAGGCGGGAAGTACTGGAAGTTCAACAATAGGCCCAAAAAGAACAAACCGTTCGGCGATATCGTTGACGGCGGGAAACTGGCCGCAGAGAAGTGGCCAGACATTCATTTCCCCGGCGGCGCCGGCTATCGTAAGTCGGCGTTCGTAATGGTCTATCGGGACAAGTGGTCGCTGTGGCGAA